TGTTGAGTTTAAGTGGAACGTGGCGTTCTAATAATCAGGTTGCATGCATTCGGCAACGGCATGAACATCAACAAGGTTCTGGTGTAATTGGGGACGAATACGTGACAATGTTTCTGTCAGACTTTGCAGAGTTCATCTAAATTTCTTTGTTTCCTGCTTCAGATTCTGTCCTTAACTTTTCAGCAGGGTTGGCATCGAAGGTTAGCGTTAGCATGCTTCATCCATTCAAACAACCAGACGTGTTCAAGTTTCAAACACCTGACACAAACTTGCCAAAGGTTTTGTGGTCAGGTGAGACAAACATCAAATTCAAGATGCATGTTTGGAGGATTCTGTACCAGATGCAAGACATGTTGGTGATAGCATGAGGCTGATGCCAGTGATGTCCAAAAGCTGTGTACCTACAAAAACTTCAAATTCATCAAATAGCAACAACTTGATAGTTGAATCTTAAAAACATACACTTAAACATTTGACGTGGAATATATTAAACTTCCTGAATGGCCTAGTCCAGGGGTCAGCAGCCTTTTCAATTCAAAGAGCCACTTTTGCCATCACTGCTACAAAATGAAATTTGCCTACAGTCGCTAAAAAACCCCCAAAACCAGACACGTTTGATCATAATACCTCTTTTTCTTATTGGTATTATGATCACAAACATGTCGGTTTTTAAGAGCCACAGTACAGGGGCCAAAGAACCACGTGTGGTTGCAGACCCACGGCCTAGTCCAAACCTAGATCCAACCTCTTTTACAAAGTTGTGGATCATTATTAAAAATTGAGTGTGTGGCTGGAGACCGCGTAAAACGATTGGAAACTCAAAAAGAAAATGGGTCAAATATTTAGCCTGAATTCTGGGAGGCTTGTTGGTAAATACAAGTGAACGGTCAAGGTGTAATTTAATAAAGGATTGTAAATCACTTGTTGCTGCCTGCTCCAGTCCAACAAATCAGTTTTAATGAAGTTTGTCTTTTATCCTAAAGCCATTTCCCGGCAGTTTGCCCTCCTAAGCCATCACAGAGCCCTTCTCTTGACTTCTCACAATTCCTGTTGACACAAACCAGACGACGAGCTTAACTTGTTGCTTTTCTGTCCAGATTAGAAGGAACATAAACACAGCAGATAGCCCAAGGGAGATGGTGCAAGTTCAAGTTCATCTACAGCACTTTTATCAAAGAGAAGGTTATTCAAAGCATTGCAAAAGTATCCACACCCACTGAATTTTATTTATTTATTTTTTTACATTTCATCACATTAAGATACTCTAACCATACGGCCAAAGAGAGATTTAGTGAGGAGCAGCAAAAGCAAATGAACTGGATTAGCAGTGCTAACCAACAGCTGATGATGTCTGTCACCGTGATGTAGTCAGATGTAGTCAGAACAATTGCTTATTCCATTAAAAGGGGAGTATTGTGTGTTTTCCAGCCACATAGTGCCATTTTATAGCACAATTAAGTAACTATATTACCTTCAGTAGTTGTAGAAATACTGTATATATTAAACATGGCTCCTCTTTACCAACGCTTTTACCAGCATTGCACAAAGAAGTAGCTCCTATAATGATCTCAGCAGATGGACTGTTCCACCAGGTGTTTACTAATTGCTGCTGGCTAGTCTGAAGGAGCCGAGTGGGGAGTTGCAGGAGAAGGCTGCTCTGTGAGACTGAAGCTCGGAAACTGCAGCTTTGAGGAGGAGCTGCGTGTCGAAGGCGGAGCTAGGTTCACCCAGGCCTTTTGCACAGCTGAATGGTTGCTATGGAGATTAAAAGATTTCTCAAACATGCATGAAAGAATCAAGGCAAAACTTAGGGTGTGTTTTTATGAGGAAATAACATTAGAACATGATATAAAGCTCAAAGAAGTTGATTTTACGTAATGCTGCCCCGTTAATATCAGTTTCACTTTACATTCATATAGTAACTGCTTTTGTTTCAGCAAAGCAAAGATACATTTTCGGATTGGGGAAATTATCTTCATTTAAAACTTACTTTGATCCCAATTCGGTCCAACAGAAAAATATCTAAAGTTTACAAGTTTCCTCCTAATTGACAATGTACAACTCTGCTGTTGTAACAAAACTATTCACCAAGATACCTTAATCAATAAAAATGCATGTTCTAAGTGCCTGTTAATAACTGCTTTTTCCCTTTCAAAGCAGAAGTAATCTGGTACATTAGAGATGTACGTGAGGAACACAGCTTCACCTCTTCATACAGGAGTGATGTCATATTACGTTTAATGAATCAGTCCTAACTTCCTGTAAACATGGCTCTTTTTAGTTTAATTTTCACAATGTTTAACTCAGGAATGTCTCAGAGCGAAGGCTGGAGGATGAAATAAAACGTAAGGAGTTCCATTAACGGTGATGAGTGTCAAACCGGCTCTGGACCATCGAGAAGGCCACGACTCTGATAAACCAAGATTATGATGGTGAAGATGTGGAATTTCCACAGATGGTGAAGGTCCTGCTTCTTTATCTGCTGGTCTGAATCCAGAATGAAACATACACACAAAATCAAAAGGAAACTCAGTCTTTTTAATATTTAAATACGAGTCAGTGACTAGTAAACGTGTAATCTTTTACAGACGTTCACCTTTAACGGTTATTGTGGAATTAAGCTTGATTTCAAAACAGAAACTTGGATCTGAAGCGTATCCTTTCTATCTACAAAAGGAAGTGTCCATCTGGCCAAGCAGCCTCCCTAAACTCAGATAAGCGTTAATGAAAGCACATTAAGGGTCAGAGTTCCCCAACCTGATTATTTCTGGTCGCTTACATAACCGCGAGGAGCTTCGACTCCTGACTCGGCTCCCTCTGTCCCGCTCCAGATAAGCTTCTGCAGTGATAACGCCGCTCCGCTCAAGGCCGCCACCGCAGGGAGGGAGGGGAGCTTAATTGGCTCATTTGTACTGAGAGGAACTTGAATGAAGTCTGATCAGAGAAAAAATAAAATAACGGGCTTGGTCAAAGCAACTGAGTATTCAGTGCCTTTATTGAAGATTCAGAACTTTAATGACTCATTAAATACAGAAAAAAATAACACAAAAGCTCATTTAAAAGCAGATTAACTGGGCTTCGGCTGCCTTTGCATTGATTCAGCAATTTTGAAGAGGAGTTAAATTTCAAAGCTGTTTTGGACTGTGTAGTTTATTACTACTTGGGAAGGGTGGAGGATACACATCCGGTCTAGTTCAAACAAAAAATGGAATTTAATATATTGAGAGTGGACAGCCTATTTGTGGTTCAGTATTCACAAAAAATTGCCTTTCCACATATTTTTTTCTAAAATATTTGACAGAATATGCAGTTTGGGAAGTTAAAGCAACCTAGACACAATGCTACTTGACTCACTTGTGTTTGCAAAGAAGCCAATCCAGGAGCGACATTCATTTTCCCCAGCACTGATTGGCTGCATCACCAACAACCAAGACCAGACCATGAATGTTGGCTTCTGTAACGGAGTGTTTAGACAGCTTCCACTGAACATATTAATGAATATTAAAGTATATTTGGTGTTTGAACTATTAACAAAGGCAAAAAAGGAAAACCAACTTCAGCGGCCGCTTTGTCCAAACTACGAATAACCAGACAGTGGACACCTGTATCCATGAGAGCCGCTAACTGAAACACTAACTGAGCATCCATGTGAAGTCAGGAGCGTCCATGTGAAGACTTAATTATTTCCTAATTAAGTCTTTGAACGTCATTTCATTGATGAACTGGTCAAAGGTCGCCATCTTTGTTGTGCCTGGTAGAGCAGACTGGAGCTACATATGGTGTAATGCTAACCAACCAATAAGAATAATAACAAGTTGAAATCTTAAGACACTGCAGTCCTCATTTACATAATGATGCAGAAATGCATAGGTAAAGTAAAAAGAGGAGACGGAAGAATGTAAAAACAAATGGAAATAAAAGGAGTGGTGGCGAAAAAAGAAACGAATTGAAGAGACACAAATGCACCTTTAAGTAGAAGAAAAAACAAAAAAACATTTTTTTAAAAACTGTAAATTTTAAATCATGTAGTTAAAAATATAATTTGATGCAACTGCTGAAAAAATGAAAATGTGTCAAATTAAAAGACATGAGGTAAAGCTCTCAATTTTTTAATTAATTGGTGCATTTTAAGTGCATTGATCCATTTATCGAGTCACTTATACATTTCTACTTCTATTTTTAATTATATTTGTTTTGGTCCTCCATACAAAGCCCCAGGCAACACTGCAAGGACATGGGGTATAAATAATGGATTTTTAAATTTTATTTATTTTACAATTTTCCTTTGTGTCTTAAATTGCTCAGGATTCAGATTAAAGGTAAAAAAAAAATGTAGAAAATCATTTGATGTCTAATTTCTTTCAACAAACCCAGAATAGGCATTTTAATATGAGAGTGTAATCTCTTTGGATTTACTGTACTCACTTTAAATTCACTAAATTGCTTTATATTGGATTTAAACTCAATATCTCCTGTGACCTGCAGCCACTTTAATGCAATGAGCTATATTTGAATTTTCCAGTTAATTTAAATTAAATATATACATATTTAGGGGGAAATTAAATTATAAGGGAAGTACAGTGTTTTTGCTTGTTTTTAATAGTTTTATGCAGGTTACAAGCCGTGTTTTGCCATGTCTAATTATCTCAAAATATGGTTATAAATATATTTTATCTGATTTAATCAGACATAAATATCTGATTAAAAGTAACAACTAAATATTGAAAGGCAAGTTTGCCTTTCAATATATATATTTTTTTAATTCAACACTCTGTTACCCTTCTTAGGTGATGGTAAAAAAAAATTTTCTCCGCCAGTCATTCAGTGTTTTTACTGTTACTTTTTTTTATTTGGTTAAACTGCGGGGGGGAAGTAGGAAAGTTTGAAGAGCGACGTCATTTTTAAAAACTGAATGGCATCACCGGGCTCTGATTGGCCGCTGCGGCCGCGAGCTCCAGATCCGAGAGAGGGGGGCGTGTCTGGGACGCCGTATATGAGCGGCTGTCCTCCTGTCCACCGTCAGAAGGAAACGCTCACTTAAAGCGGTGCGCAGCAACAGCAGCAGCAGCAGCAGCAGCAGCAGCAGCTCCCTCCTGGAGGTTACACACTAACAGAGAGCCACCTCCGCTTCTTCTGCCGCAGCGGACCCACTCGGACTCCAACACAGTTTATTTCTTCCAGCAGCAGCACAGAGAGGAGCGGAACTTTGGAGACATGCAGTCTGTGTACCAGCACCTCATCAGCCTGCTGTTCGTCTTCAGCAGCCTGCAGGTTCCTCAGCTGACCGAGGGCTGCTCGTGCGCGCTCACGCACCCGCAAGATGCCTTCTGTAACTCCGACATAGGTGAGTCATTAATTACGTGGCCTTGTTGCTCGCTTTCCTTTCATATTAACGCGAGGAAACGCTCAGGTCAAAGTGACGCATGTCAGCGCGAGGAGGACAGAACGCACGTGAGCCTTGGTACACAGTAAAAAAACTTGCAGGTCGAGTATCAGAGTGTATAGCTTGTTACTGTGTATTTGTCCCTATAGTATGTAGTAATTTTACAATTCACGGGAGCTATATTGCATTAAACGTCGCAGATAACTTCACAGGCAAGTCAGATTTCTAAAAATGGGTATGGCTCTCTACCCAGGGCGGCATAAAATAAAGGTTTTGTTTTTTGGGGGTTGGTTTTAGGGATGCTCCGATATGAACATGTGTGGCGACATGACCATCTGATATTAATATTGCCATTATAGCAGACAACTGATATTTACAGATATTACATGTATAATATAATATTCTTCTTTTATTTGTCGGACTGATACCGATATTAGTGCTAATATATTGTGCATCCCTATTTTTATGATTTGCTCCTCTGCAGTCAAAGATAAATGGGCGTCTCCTGTGTTGTATTGTTGGTATTTGACTCAGCTTCTGATTGGCTGCTAAATTAATCTGTTTCACAGGTTTCAAGGGGTTTGTGACAAAAAATGTTTCTAAGACTTTTTTCTTTTTTTGTTTAATGTCAAACATTTATATTTTTGAGTAATAAAATCCTTGCTATTATTGGGCCTGACAGTAAAAAGATTGCTGTTTGTTTTAGCAGAGAGAGGTTAGTTTGGGGGAGTATACAAAGGAAGACTTGGAGACTGCTTTAAGGTGGAGGGGTACCGATTATGCAACAATACGCTCTGAGTTTAAGTTTTAAAATTGCACCTATAGGCTGCTTTCATGTTTTTACAAGATCCTTATTTGTCTGCACATGGTGGTATTTCTGTGATGGGCAGCCAGATATTGCCGAGCAGCGGTACAACGGGGGTCACACAGCTGGTTTTACTACCTGGATATGCTTACCCTGGCAGCCCAGAATAATATGAACTCGGGATCTGGCTTAGCACTAGGATTAGGCGATTGAACCGTGAGGGGAATGAGGCCGTGTTTAGGTGGGTGGGGAGGTGGGGGCTGTGTGAGGGAACTGAGGTAATTCAGATAGGACACACTCTCACATTTCACCTGAAGTTTTATTCCTTTCAGGCATGAAACCAGAGATTCTATCAGTATGCTTACTTTGAGATGATCGTTTTGCTTTTATTTAAAACTAAAGATTAACACTTGATTATTACACTGTATAATATAATGTTAAGCTATCAGTTTGTACATTAGTAGTACTTTTTAAAGCCTTTTAATTTTATTCTAATGTGCGAACAAACACTCTTTCCAAATGCCAGATCAACAGCAGTATACCACAGTAGAGGTGTTTAGATGTAGATGACAGTTTTGTCTAGCCCTGAAATGGGCGGTACCCGACCTTTTAACAGGTCTTCAAATAGACGTTTACCCATAAAGCCCTTTAAGGACTCCGCATTTAAAAAGAGAAAGTCTTAACTTCTTAACTTAAGATACTTCAAATCTCCAGGAGAGTAGATACACATCCAGCCAGTGACCCAGTTGGACCAAGTCAAAATGCAGCTTCCTCAAACACTAATCCACCACCTTTTTAGCAGTTTGGATAGCTCATGCTTCTGGCCCCTGCTGAGACTCAGCTGAGTAGAATCTGGAACTGACTTCAATGGGGACAGTTCACAAATCCCATTTCCAAGGTTATGGCTTGGCTTGAGATGTGCTTCCGAGTTCCTTGAGAAACTTCAAAGCATGGAGACGCTGCGACTGGATGATCTGGGTCAACCTTGGCCATAAAGAATGCCATAATAAAGTTTTTATGAGACAAACAGTCCTATTTTTATATCCACAAGTCATTATTTTCATACATGAATGTCTTCTGCTTCTAAAACACAGTGGCTGGCAACCATAAGTGGTGCAAACATTAAGGTGACGAGAGAGAAATGCTGTAATTTACTCTGTCGACATCAAAGGCAACAAGACTGGATCTTCCCAGTTTCAGACCTGAAGGGGAGTTCAAAGCATCTTGCTCTTGTTTTCTTGGCCCTAACCCATAATCGCCCACAAGCACACCGCTGAAAAAGAACGGCGAGGATAAAGCCCTGGAAACTGGGTTGCTGAAGCCTCTCTCTTTATGCTGTGAAATATTTCAACTGAAATGTAGAAAAACACAATATCCTTGAAGCAGCAGAAGATGTTTTGACGAACATTTAGGTAGCCAACTGTCTTAAGAGACTTTGGCCACAAAAAATGTCATTTCTTGATGTTGCTTAATGGAGCCATTCAGACAGGTAATTGGCTCTGTTTAAGCAGGTCATTCACTTGTCTAAAGGTGTGGCAATTATTTTCTCAACAAGGCCTTCCCTAAGCCAGATCAGAGAAGACTGACACGTCAATGCAGGTAAAAGGTGCTACCAGGTTGCAGCCTGGTGTAGTTGTAAAGAAGTCAGTTTTGTAGAGAAAACATCTAGAGTCAAAATGTATTTTACTTTGCATTTATTCTGGCAGTCAGTCCTCAGCTCCCTATCTGCAGCAGAACAGGTGATTGCTTGACAAAGGGCATGCAGTCTAGACTCCTGTGGTGAGAGGCATTATGTAAGGGCGGACGGCTTCCAGAGTTTTCCCAAAAGTCAGTTGAAATACGACGAGATGTCAGAGTCGGGATTCCGGACAAGCCTGAGATGTTTGTCTCCTGAGCCGAGCGTATCAAATCTCCAGCCCACAGCCCCCTCCCTTCTGCAATGACCACGCACTTGTGGAGGCCAGTATGGGGGGCTGAAGACAATGACCCAACAGACACTCATCACAGCACTATAATATGACACAAAGCAAAGAGCTGATCACGTTTGGGAGGTTTAAGAAATATCCACTTGCAAATCTCAAAAAATGAAGTTACTCTGATGTATGATATTACAGAATTACGACTGTCATTGCAACAACATGTTGGAGTTCCTCTTACGTTAGTTCTCATTTGTTCTTTTTGTAGACTTTTGTCCATATTCCCTATGCTTTTGAATGCTGTTCATCTGGAAGGATGAACAGCATCCTTCCTTTCAGAGTCTTACTTTTAGAAAGCTATGATATGCAACCATGGCAGCAAGGTATTGTTTTTGTTACTGGGAACGTCTGACTAGTACCTCAAAAACTCAATTAATACCTGAACTACAACTCCTAATTCCAGAGGAGTTGAAAGAAGGCTTTATGCATGCAGAGCAGGACCACAGAAAAAGCAAATGAGGTGGATTAACAGAGCTTGCCAGCAACTAATAGTGTTACCCATGACATAAAATGTGGAATATCGTCATTTATGCGATTAGCATGTCATGACAGTCTGAGGCTTTTGTCAGATTCGTTGCAATGTTGATCCTTCCTCCAACAGCATCACCATCCACAACTCTTTGAACATACTTGGCTGATGGGTTACAACATTTAATATCCCTTTGAAATGAATAAAGCATTTCTGAATTAGAGCTTATAGTTAGAGCATCCTGATAAGAACCAACTGCACATCTGCACAACCGACCAGCCTGAAAGGAGAATCTGAAACGTAGTCAGCCAGTCAGCAAATGGCGAGTGAGTGCAAAAGATAAGAAATGTAAGATGTAAATGCAAACTGGGTGCCTGAGAAGCAAAGAAAATACCAGGTGTTTGACAAGTTATTTCTTGGGCAGTGACCACAAGAATGGCAACTGTAGATTATTGGAAAACTTTCATGAGAAAGCAAAATTCATTGATATAGCTGTAATAATAACTGTCCTAGTGTATAGATACTAGCTAAACTGAGTGTTGAGTTTAATTTGGGGAGATATGTAGGAGTATTCAGATTACTTGTGTGTGTTGAACCGTTGTTGTGTGACCTGCTGTCTGACAGTGCAGTGTTTGCTGCTTGGTACTAGGGGATTGAGGATTGGATGAGCTAGTGTGTCAAGGTGGGCCGTGACTTTTGAACAGCTTCAAAACTAAAATTCAATTCCGCTATACCATTCTTGCAGTATGATTTTTTCTTTTATGGCGGTCCAAGAACCGATGATGCATGATGGCCAAGTGAGGTAAAACCTCTGGATCCGTTCTGGTCAGGAAAAGAACCTATCCAGCCATGACTAGGAAACAGAAATATGAGAAATGGCTAGAGAATAGCTGCCAGAAGAAGCAATAATTATGGTTTTATGAATGCATAGAACATAATCAGGAGGAAATGAGATGGTGATGCATAGTTTTTAGAAAAGACTTGACATATATTTAGACATCCTGCATAAATGTATTCTATATTTTTTTCTTTGTCCTGTGGTTTCTTTCTGACACGAGGTTCTACAGCCAGAGGACACTGTTTATTTTTGAGTGTGGTAAAGTGTGAGAAATCCTCTTCCTCCCACTTACCTCCTCATACTTGGATAACTTCCTGCAGACTGAACTCAATAACTTCTCCTTGTGTCACTTTCTTATTATTATTCCTCTTTTTCCACACAGGCATGCACCTATGTTACACAGTAACTCAATCCTTGTTATGGCTGCATTTTGTCACACTCTACGTCGGCTGAATTGAATGTTTAGCATTCACATTCAATCTTTTTTATAATCCCATGCTCTAGGCAATGGAGGCTGAGTGAAAAATGGATTCACTTTATTTCCGTCACATCCTGGTTACCTTTCTCACTATGAAAAGCCTCCCACTCATGAGACTGCATAAAGATTCCTCTGCAGAAGAGGATCACCACAGTAACCTAGAATTTTAAACTGGGAAGGGGATTTTTTTTTATGTAGCATCTAATTGATAACTTAAATACTGACTTAAATAATCAATTCCTACCAATCTAACATTAAGCACAATAAAAGGCTTAAAGAATTAATAAAAATCTGTCTTTGGAAAAAAAAAAAAAAAGCTTAAATGTTAAGCAAAAGGGATTCAGAAGCACCATTAGCTGGGTTGGCTTTGGCTATCATGTGGCTAGTTTTTTGGCAGATACATTTATTGCATTCAGCTGCAGCTAGATGTAGTTTTGGTGTTGATTTTTGAGTTATTTTATCTACAAAATTTGTGAAAAAACTAATCACTACATCCGGTTTTGCTAAATGTTGTAAGCAAAAAGCGGAGGAATGCTTTAGCTTCTTCATGCTAATTAAAGAACTGTCAAATGTAATTTTTTAGGACTCTTTAATTTGCTCATAATCTGTATTGTTATGTTACTCCATGTCACATAAACTATGAGAATTTCACAGCAACTAACAAGTACAGTGGACCCCCAGTATTCAATGGGGCAAGGGGCCATGATGGTCCTCAACTAGCTAAAACAGCTAATACTCAAAACTCCTTATGACATAATCTATAACTGCCTATTTTAATTGTTCAAATGCCAAAAAATACATTGGTATGCATTAATATACACAATGGAACCCATCTTGGCAATACCACAGAAGCTAACATCTTCAGTCTTCCTTATTTACACTTAAAGGTACAGCCAATCAGCACCAAGGACACTGAATGCTGCTTTTGAATTGGCTTATTTGCAGCCTATAGCATGTCAGGTATCAATATAGCATTTTCTTTTTAATATTTCAGATGTGCTTTAACAAAAACAAAAATCCAGAACGGGGTAATTTCAGGCAGCTGACCAGCAGCGCACTGCCACATGCAATGGAAAGGCAACCCTATATAACTTTAACGCTTCATTCAGACAGAAACAAAATTGCTGGTCATTCAACGATTGTTTCTCAATAAAGCTTATTGTAGGAACGATAAAAATGTAACATTTTTGAACCCCTTTTTTTTTCACTGCATTGACTTCAGCCAGAATATTGCATTGTTTAATTATACAACATTTAGGGAATACTCTTTACAACACAGAGCAAGATGACACAACTATCCTGGGAGCATAATGGTTCACTGTGACATCTGTACCCAGCAGAAGCAGCTCACTGCAGAGTACATCCACCAAACCGAAAATGCAACCCCTCTAAATCTCAGACAAGTGCTGGTAGTGCTGCTCTTCTGTCCAGAACAGCTGGATCCTTTCACAGATTCCCATTGGAAATGGCACCATCGCTGCCGGCCAACAAGAAGGATCTTATATGGACATGCGTCGGTTGATTTATCTGAGGTTCTTCCAGCTAGAACATTTGTTTTTGAGGTCAGACCAGAGTAGGAAAAATGGTTCTGCAATGAAAGGTTTAAGTAATGATGGGAGGTGTATTTAACTGAGGCAAAAGGTCCCGTTATGTCTGCAAATTCCTTAGTAATTGTTCGCAGCAGACATCTGTCAAACAGAGTTTGGGTACATTTAGCAGAGGTCAGTTTGTAATGGAGTGCTTTTGGATGAAATTAAAAGAGTTGATTAATGGATCAAGGAAAGTTCTAGTGAAAGGTCAGGAAGCATGTGGCGGGTAGGAAGTTGTTGTGCACTAATCCTGACATGAACAATGTTGCCTTTAGATGGGTGTGCATTCTAAAATCTATTGCTTTTAAGATGATAATTAACTTCAAAAAGACTCATTAATGGTCAGAAACTGTTCAGAAAATAGCTGAAAAACATTCAAACTAGATTTTAGTATTTTCCTATCCCGATTTCCCATAAAAGTTACATCCCTCAACTTCACTCCATCCATCCATCCGTCCACGGAGGGTACTCAAGATTTTCCTTCATTTTCAATCGGTTCATGCTCTCTAACAAAAAAAGTTAAAACAAACTCATTTCAAATTGGGGCCTTCACATCCAGAATACATTTGCGGTGACCAAGATATAACTACTTTCTGTAGAAGGTGCCCACTTCTCATTTGCCAGCTTGACAAATTGAAAGCAGAACAGAAGGCGACATCCCTCGTTTGCCTCTCTGCGGCCAATAAAAATGAATCCTTATTATTTTCTCCTCTTTCTGTGGAACGCAAGCTCCCCAAAGAATGTGGGAAGGAAATTCCATGGGGAGAAGATAATAAACAAGACCAGTGTTAGTTGTGTCTGCGGCTGCTGGGGTTCGGGGCAGCAGGTGAACTTCAGAGGGCTGATGGCTTATGCAGGACCCGCATTAGGCCCCATCCAGCAGCTCAAATAAACGCTCATTTCTACACTCCCTGTTCCAGACGTTTCTCAGTAAGATCCATTATGTCAGAATCAGTTAAAGCAATCGGTCACTTCCAGGTGTTTTCAGCTCATTTATGTGCATGAGGGTTCGCCACACTGATAGTACTCTTCCCCCCCACCCCCAAAATGTTCTTTCTTGGTATATGTCTTCTTCTCCAATTCTCATTTAAGTTTTCCATGAGAATTCCGAAGCGATGTTCCTTCCGGGGCAAACAATGCAACGATGCAGGAAATCAGATAAACAGCTTACCGGTGCAGCTAACCTGGTTCTAATGCACTATTCAGGAGGTGTTTAGAAATGCCGCTCTCACCTGTGCGCAAACTAATATAGGGTTAAAAGCGAAAGCATACTATTGAGTTCTAACAAACATGTCCGTTTCTTTCTTTACAGTGATCAGAGCTAAGGTGGTCGGCAAGAAGCTGCTGAGAGATGGACCTTTTGGAACAATGCGCTACACCATCAAGCAGATGAAGGTGAGGATCTTAGATTCCCTTCAGTCCTTAATGTTCGTCTTCGAAGCATGAAGCTAAACAGAAACTTTGAGAACCTTTCAGCTAAGACTACATGGTATTAAATAATACAATTGCAATCATTTTTGCACCATTTGTAATTAAAATCTTTATTTTTAGCGCTTTAGCTAACTTTGAAAATGTTTAGCGCAGTTAGCTTACCCTCAACTAATTTTTGCAGATAAATTATAAGGTACCAAGTTACTTTAACTTTCAGTTGAATAAAATTCATGTGTGTTGACAGTTATGAATCCTTCAAGTAGACGTTTATCTTCATGCTCTTATTTTGAAGTGATTGAAGACTGTTTACCCAGTGGTTCCGTTTCCTCTCATGTCCTCTCTTCCCCGCCAATAACTTTATTTCAAAGAAGAAACGTACAGGGTCCAAATTAAATACGGACAGTAGAGAATAAGATTTAAACATAAATACAATATCTGAGATCATCATACAACATGTACATTATAATGTCAAAATTAAACTGACGCTCAAATGTTGAAGTGTTTCAAGGGCAGATATAATTAGCATTAGCGTCTACTAAATACCATTTTGGTATATTCCTTTAGCATTGCCGCAACTAATGTTTATGATTAGCACTTTAGCATTTATGTCCACTAAATACTGTGTTTGTGTAGTGCGGTAGAGTGAGCAAAACTAGTGCCGGTAATTAGTACTTTAGGGGTTAGCACAACTAACTTTGTTAGCAGTGTCTACCTTTTCTGGTCTGTGTCGGGTCTGAGCATTTACCTCAGTGACCTCAGCATAACCGAAAACGAATAGCAGCAAGTTCTGCATTCCAAAGACTTCTTTACATTTTTAATTCTGGACATACCAACGTCAGAATAATGATGTACAACTGAAAAAATCCACTGTCTTACCATCAACTAAATTAAGCTACATTGGTTATTGGAATTATAACAGTGTTGTACTGAAAATACTTGAAATTAGAATTCATATTGTAAAAGCACATATTGTAATAACACATTTCATTTCTAATCAAATTTATGCAATTCCAGTTCTCTACAGAAACCAGAAAAAATACCCACTGCTGTTTTTTCCTAATGTAGTGGGTAAAGCTCTCTGACAAACTGTCAGAAAAAGGAATGTAACTGGTAGGTTGATAAAAACTCTACGGTTTTGTGTTATGAAAGTTTTTATATTATTATTTCGCTGTCCAGTTATTCTACCACCTAGAACGGTCATCTAAAGGTTATCAAATAGATTCTAAAAATTGTAAATGAAGGCAACTGGTGCTTAGCTCACAGAAAATACATTTTTGGGGAAAAAGTAAAATAACTTTTCTGTATGCTTCTGCATGTTAAATTTAATAATTTTAAGTCCATTATAACTCAACATCAAGATCTACTGAACTGCATAAAATGCCCCCTATTTGAACCAAGCCTTTCTTTGTTTAGGTGAATTATAAACCTAATCTTCACCCAAGATTGACCCTTTTTGGTAACCTACTGAAATCAACATTCTTCTTGCCAAACGTTGTCCGATATGCTCAGCCGATGATAGAGAAGTTCTTAACCTCATTTTAAAGCCATAGATCCAATTAAGACCAGAAGCAAATTTCTAAATTAAGAGTTGCTAGAAGAGAAGTTGTACATTTAAGACTCATTTTGAAAAATTGAGGTCATTACATGAAAACCTTCACTTTTAAGATACAGAACACTCTTATGATACAAATCTGTAATTGAATCATTGCTAGTTTGAGCTAATTTGATGTTCACAGCCACATGATTAATGGTCTCTAAACTGATAACATGTAGTCTTACTGTTATTGTTAAACTCCTTCTCTTTAATGCTGGGCTTTTAATGTAGAAACCCATTTAAAAGCTATACTTTCTTAAAACTATAATATAGGTTTAAGAAACTTACACCAGTGTCTCTCCAGCCTATAACTAAACGCAGACTGGAATTCCAGTCCTGGAAGGCCGTCCCTCCTTTTCTCCAGATCCTTACATAACGCTCCATATTTCTGACAGATGCTGACATCGGCCCGCTGCTTTGACAGGAGCCAGGCCGAAGGATTAGTAGGCTTACGGGTATTACAGCTCAACCAAACTCCTCGCATCGAGAGTAAACATTTTGTCAGAGTCACGCACCAGCATCTGTACAACAGTGGCCTTTTTGTTATGTATTACGACTGTTTGAGCTTATATAAAAAGCAAAGCATCCTCCAGATTTCTACAAATCCTATGAGACGAATCCCTTTGGCCTCCATAAAGCTCCACAGCTTCTGGCTGAGGTAATAGTTTGTTCCGTTTTTCTGGGAGCGCTGCTAAACAGGGATTTCCTGTTGTTCTCAGAAAAATACATTACACCCTTAAAAAAACAGAGAAGGAAGCAGACCTCTGAAAACAGACTTTAGGCTGTGTACCTATCACAGTTGCACCACGTTACTCGTCACGTTATCTCGGATTTCACCAAAAGCCGAGCCTTCAGATTTTCATTCCCTCGCGGTAGTCCCTTAAAATAGTCATCTGATAAAGCAGGAGTGTTCTTTCCTTTTCCTTGTTGTTCATGTGGGGACTTTTGAGTGTCGCTGAGAGAACTCTAGCACTGTTTTTCCAGTGCCTTGATTCCATCTCCCCTTTTTTTTTTTCTTTTTCAGATGTACAAAGGATTCGAGAAAGTTCAGCATGTGCAGCACATCTACACGGACGCCTCCGAGAGTTTGTGCGGCGTCAAGTTTGAGATCAACAAGTACCAGTACCTGATCACAGGTGAGCTGTCGAAGTCATACTTTGAAAAAAGAATGCTGCTTGACTACAACTGCATTTCCATCGACCATACAATTGCTCAATTTGACATATTGAAAATAAATGTGCTTAATGAAAAAGTGTCGATTTCGAAAAAAAACAAATTTTTAAATTAGACTTTTTGTCGTTAGGATGACGTGTAGTTATTTTTTTTTTTTTTTTGGGGGGGGGGGGGGGGAAAATTCATAATTTTTCAAAAATTTAAAGGAAAAAC